ACCTGGGAAAGCCGAGGGTGGCCAGCTGTAACCGCGGCTACTCGGCAGGCTGAGGCAGGAGGATCACAAGTCTGAGGTCAGTGTGGGCGACTTAACAAGACCCTATCTCCAAATAAAATAAATCATTGAAAGGGTTGGGAGAAAGCTGGTGGTGAGTGCCCCTAAAGTTCAATCCAAAAAAAGTCTCATTTTTAGGTAGCCCCTGACAGACTGGCTGTGGGGGTACAGTCCCTGAAGTCCACTGCCGAAACTTGGTGCAGAGACAGTACGGAGAATGGCGCTCACAAAACCCGCAGCCAGGCCGCAGAGGCATCCGGGAAGTGGCCGCACCGACTGTCCCCGTCTTCCATGCAGCCAGCAGCAGGCAGCCCTGGATGGCACTGCAGCCACCCAGGAGCCGCCATTGCTATGAAGGAGCATCAGATGCCCGAGCCCACCCTCCTGCGGCTGCGTGCTGACAGCACCAGGCCAACGGCAAGCACCCCAGCGCTCCTGCAAGACACCGCTGTCACCCCGGCGGGCCTGGCGCGGCCTCTGCCCCACCCCTGCCTGTGACCTCCTCCACTCTGCACCTGGGGCTTGAAACAGGAGGAGCCGGGAGACAGGCCTGCAGCTGGGCGTGCACCCAGAGACAAGGCTGCTCGCTGTGAACAGAGGGCTTCACGCGCAACGTTAGCCAGGTCAGAGCTGCCGACCAGGATCGCCGGCGTGCGAACAGAACCAGACAGAATCGGGGGGCAGCAGCCCAAGACAAGACCACCAACCCCAGGACTAAGGCTGGGATCATCAAACCCTCAGAACGCGGAGGGAGGGCGCGCAGAGCTGAAGCGGGGACACTGATCGGGGAGTGCCCTCCGCTGGGGCCGCCTCCCATCAACGGGGGCCTTCACTGCAGCTGAAGTGAAGCTGCGCACAGAGGTGACGCTCACAGCAGCGAGAGACAGCAGACAGGAAACAGGAAGAGAGCAGGTCGCCCCCTCTGTGCAGGCTTCTGGAGCCTGAGCGTTCCCTTCAGCAGGAGGGACGCTGGCCAGGCAGAAACGGGGTGCAGAACTCCAGCAGTGCAAGAGGGAACCTCCTGGCACAGTCCACCTCTCTGCCTGCCCAGCACTGCCTGGCACATGAAAGGTCGCAGCTCTCCCAACAGGAGGGAAGACGCTCTCACGTCGCCCCAGACTGAGTTCCTCTGTCCCAGCAGCCGCAGTCCCTCTGGCCTCTGTGAGTTACTGAGTCACAGTCCCATCGGGATGTCCTGTTATCTAGACCTAAATTACAAAATTAGCCTCCAGCCAGCTTGTATGTGGAGAAGGACGGTGACGAGAAACAGTCCCTGCTGGTGCAGGTGTGCATGCACACACAGCGAGCGGGGGGAGGACACAGGCGCTGCTGCCCTGTTCGGACCTGGCTGCCTAGTTTCCCTAGCTCTGCTCATTCCTGTGCCTCCCCAGCCTTGCGCTCACCCACTCTGCAGGGACTGAGTCTCTGGTGCACTTGCCTCGCTGTTTCATAAAACCCGTGTCCACGTAGTTCTGCATTAACTTCGCCGTGGGGCCAGCAGCAGCCGCGGCTCTAGACCAGCGTCCCCAGCTTCTTGCACCAGGGACCATGCACATTATATCTATGGTTCACTTCTAGTTTTGTTGTTGTTATAGACCGGCCAGGAGGCAGAGCTGAGCGGGGACACGGGCAGTAGCTGTGAACACGGTCCAGCTTTGCAGCCGCCCCTCCAAGCACCACCACTGCAGACCAGTCCGCGGCCACTGGGACTATCCCCGTGTGCAGCCAGGACCCTCGTCCCCCACAAGACAGTCACCACCTTCTTTCCCTGTTGGTTTGGGGACATGGGGAGCCCCAAATGTTCACGGCACTGTCCAGTTCCCCCAGCCACCATTTTCCCTCCTGGTGTAAAGGGCGGGTCCAAAGCTGGGTTAGTTTGCACCAGGCGCCAGCCCAGGAAACTGCGTGAGGCCCGGACAGTCTTACGGAGAGTAAGCTAAGTAGTGTCCTGCGCCTCCCGACCTCCGGACTGGGCCTTTAGGAATGTTAGAAATGCAAAATAACTGGTCTCCTTTGAACTTGGTTTCTTTGAAATAAGCAAAGTAACTAAAAAACCCCACAAGGCCTCCACTGCCCGCTGTCTATATAAGACCCACACCAAGGGGCGCAGTGGCAGCTCCCTTCCCACATGCCCAGCCCTCCTGTGGCTGGGGCTCATCCTCCTACTTTGCAGGAGGAGGAGCCTGGATATACAAAATTCACTGTTTCACCCAGGGAATCCTTAATTCCCTCGGAAATCAAAACTCCTGGACCACACAGAGAATGTCCAGAAATGGTGCAGAAAACCCTGCGTGTGGGTCGCCATACGCGGCAGTGAAAGGAGCCCCCTGCTGGCCCCCACCCGGCTCCCCAACTTGCGCCTCCTTATTAAAAGCACAGTGCCAGGTGCCCGTGGAGGAGCCACCCCGCACGGCCCGCTTCCTGCCTGCTGCCACATCTGCGTGTTCTGCCGACTGAGGCAGGGAGGCAACCAGATGCGTGTCCATGCTTGTTTGTGGTCACTCTGGTCACAGCAGCCAAAAGGAGGAAACAACTCACTGTCCGTGGACAGGCGAGTGGTTAAACAACTCGGGGGCAGGGGGCCCTCAACAGATGCTCCTCGGCCTGAAGGAAAGGAGATCCCTGCACACACTGCACGATGCACGGAGGACACTGAGCTCAGTGGGGAACCAGTCCTGTGACCCTTGGCAGGGCCCAGAGTCACAGACATGCGCGAGGGAAAGGAGCCTGCGGGGCCCGGAGGAGGACCGGCTGGGCTGGGGAGGAGTTCTGTGCGCGCTCAAGCCTGCACAGCCATGGGAATGTACCCAGGCACCGCTGGGCACTGAAAAATGGTGGGAATAAGCGGGGCATGGTGGCCCACACCTGTAATCCCAGCACTCGGGAGGCTGAGGCAGGAAGATCACTATGAGTTCAAGACCAGCCTGGGCTGCAAGGTGAGCTCAAGGCCAGCCTGGACTGCATAGCAAGACCCTGTCTCAAAAAGACAGAATAAAAGAAAAGTTACTATGCTGAATTTTATGTGTTGTCTACCACAGCGAAAATTACTGTTCTGGGCGCAGGTGGATCACAAGCTCAAGCCCGAACTGGAGAACTTAACTGTTCCAAAACAAGTAACTTGGGCACGATGGTGCACACCTGTGGTCCCAGCACTCTGGAGGCTGAGGCAGGAGGACCACAAGTTCAAACCCAGCCTCGGCAAGTCAGAGAGCCTGTCTCTAAAGTTTTAAAAAGCGCAGGGGATGCTGGGGATTTAGCTCAGAGGCATAAGTGTCTGCCATGCAGGTGTGCCGTGGAGAGTTTGATCCCCAGTACCAATAAAAAAGAAGCACAGGGGACACAGCTCAGCGCAGAGTATCAGAAAAGTATCAGAAAAAGGAAAAAGGTGCACTGTGGAAGTCCAGTTTAAAAAAAAAAAAAGCTGCCAACGCCTATGCGCCAGCAGTGGTAGGGAGGGGAGCTGCCCCCCCCAGCTGTTTACAGGGGGATGCTGTAACAGGGGTGACTGCGGGTTTCCAGGGCTGTTACTGTCCTGCTACCTTTTGCCACTCTATTTTACTCCCTTTTAAATTACCAAAAAACAGAAAAAATTAAAACAAGTGACCCAGCGCGCACAGATCAGCTGCTGTCACCACCCGCTCAGCAGGACAGCGGCGGTGGCCGCGGCCCGCCTGCAGGGGCTCCAGTCCCGCTTCCTCGCGCCCCGCTGGGAGCCCGGCCCTGCTCCAGCTCCAGCGTCCTCTGTGAAAGAAACGTTGCCGCCTCTCCTGGAACCAGAAAAGAGCGATGACGTCACCAAACTAACTGCCAGCATCACTGTAAGGAGAGGCCAGGGAGCCCCAAGACTCAGAGCCCGCACCCCTCGCCCCGGCCCGGCCCGGCCCCAGGGACTGCGTGGGAGGCCACCCCGTGTCCAAACCAGCCTGAGCAGCCGGTGGGGTTCACTCCAGCCAAGCACCCCTCCATCTCACAGAGCAGCCCTGCCTGCTGAGACAGCTCTGCGGCCCCTGGAGGGTCTGCAGAGCCAGGCAAGCGATGACGGGCACCTCCGAGCTGCCAGGAAGGAAGGAACTGCCAGCCAATTGCCGCCTGGAGCTCGTGCTGCCCCCATGGCACGCCCGCTGCCCTTAGGGAACCAGGGAGGGCACCTCCAGGGCAGCAGCAGTGGACACCTGGGAATGGCTGTCCCACTCTGGACCTTGTGTCCTCAGACCCCTTGCCTGGCTGTGGGCCGGCTCCCTCCTGGGGTACAGCAGGGGTTCTCTGGGGCCGCCCTTCGCCCTTCCTTGTTCCTGCCCAGTGCAGACAGGGGACCCTCTGCTGCTCACCTCTGCCCTCTCAGCCTGCCAGGTGCACCCAGGGACTGGGCCTGCAGGGGGGGCTGAGACAGGAGCTGGCCCTGGGGCAGAGCAGGTCCCAGGAGCCCTGCCGAGGGCCCAGCACCACAATGGCCTCCTCAAACCACAGCTTTAGCGGATAGCTGCAGCCTGTGTGGTGCTGCTGGTGCTGCGGGAAGCGCCCTGCCTGCCCCACGCAGCCCGGGCCCAGAGGGAAGCGGCTGCGGGGCGTCCGTGCAGTCCTGACCACTGCAACGGGATCTGAGCTTCCGGCAGCCCGGGGCTCCAACCAGGGCCTTCCCCCTCCCCGCTCTTTCACCTTTTAATTCTGAGCAGGGTCTCCTGACTCGCTAAGATGCCTCGCCCGAGCTCAGTCTTGCAACCCTCCCGCCTGAGCCCCTCAGGGCTGCAGCTCCGGGCCAGCTCAGCGCGCCCAGCTAGGTTAGAGTTGTTGTACCATGACCCCACACAACGTGAGACGCGAGGTCTTCGCCATTTCACACACACCGAGGTGGATTAGCTTTGGGCACCTGGAGAAGCCTCGGTCGGTCTTCAAATGCAGACCCAGCTCAGGCCTCCTCAAAGAAAGCGGCACACACACGCAGCTCGCGTAAACAGGTCATTTATTAGCTCTGGGCAGCGTGGCAGGCGGGCTGCGCGCTGCAGGACGGTGACGGTCCCGGCCCCGGGCCTCACTTCTTCCATTCGTTCTTGTCGTAGTCCCACTTGGCAGAGAAGCCCTGGATGGGGCTGACCTTCATGTCCAGCATCCGCTTGGTCTGCATGGCCACCCACTCCTTGTCGAAGGTGTGCGGGATGGGGCCGTACACTGTGGTTGCAGAGGGCGGCGTGAGGCTGTCTCCGCGCAGTGCCCGCAGGCTGCCCGCCCCACGAACAGCTGTCCAGGCCACGGCAATGCCGGGGCTGCTGTCCCTCGGCTCATGGGGCAGAGTGTGCTCTCCCCATGGGAGGGCGGAGCCCCCAGAGCTGGGCGGGGAGCCCCTCCTGGCCGCCCGACCGGCCACCTCTGGTAGAGGCCACTCATCAGAGGCACTATGCCCCAGTGACAGCTCACTGCCACCACGGCAGTCTGGACACACACACACACACACACACACACACACACACCCGTCCCAGGCGCCCGGCCGCCGGGCAGACTCACCGTAGCGCTTCTCCCAGATCAGGATGAGCCCCGTGAAGCCGATAAAGAACAGGGCCGCACCCACCACCGTCTTCCACTGGTTGCTGACCCTGTTCATCTCCGCAAAGCTCTCCTTGAACTTGATGCGGTACACTAGGGCAGGAGAAGCATGTTCGCCAGCCCGGAGGCAGCGGGGACCACGGCCGCCCCGCACCCCACCCTCCCCGAAGGCCACTGGGCACCAGGACCTGGGACCATCCCCCGGAACCCGGCAGCCGCCCCGATACCCACGCTCCACTTTCTCCTCCCGCGTCAGGCTGCTCCACGAGGCCTTCTCCTTCTCCTTCAGGGCCTGCTGGCCGGCAGACAGCTGCTTCACGTGGGCCACGTCGGGCAGCGGGTAGTCGCGCCGATCCACATAGCTGGGCAGGGCGTAGTCCTCGCTCTTCACCACGCTCCCTAGAGACACAGGAACGCTCTCGAGCCTGCGCCCCCGTCCAGGCAGCACCAGGGTGGCGGCTGCAGGCAGCAGGTGACACAGGCCAGGCCCCCAAGGTGGCACTCCCTGCAGTAAGTGACCAGAGACGGGACTACACCAGAGCCCTGCGCAAGGGACTCAGTCAGCAAGAACAAAACCAGGCACAACTGCAAGAAGGGGTCCCCGCTCAGAACTGTCCTACGGGGATCCCCAGCCTGGCAGGCAGGCGGGCGGGGCTGTGCCAGCCCTGCGCACTGAGGCAGGGTCCCGCCGCACGCTCAGGATGGCGCCATGCATCTGGGACACTGCCAGGGTCTGCTTGGTCTCCTGCTGGTGCTCACACTCCAGTAGGAAACAAAACAGACACACACACACTCACACGCACATGCACACACGTGCTCCTCACGTCAGGAATGAACGCGGGAACCAAGCAGACCTGGGGACTCCAAGCAAATGCAGAGCCGCGTGCTCGGGAGGCCTGAGTCCAGCTCGGCCCCACACGCAGGAGCAAGTCCCCCAAACTGCAGCCCCAAGCACAACACTCCCACCCCTACCCCCTACCCCGTCACACAGTTCAGATCCCCAAACCCAGGTCACCGTGAAACCCTGCCCCAGGCGCTGACCTCAGCCCGGATGTGGGCAGTGCCCACGTGGGAACTCATGAGCAGGGTCACTGTTCACTCTCGGTCGTTTTAACCAAAACCGAAGAGCAGCCATTACCTGCGAATTCTTCCCAAGTTCAGCCCAACAAAAGGTGTCTAAGGCTGGAGCACTCCGCCCACACGGGGGTCATTCCCGAGGGGGCCCTCCAGAGTCCACGTGTGCACATGTGACAGAAGTCACACCCCTCATCAAGCTGGTGTAAAGATGTAAACCCTGGAGCATGCTCGCTCGCCCCAGAACAGCGTATTCTACACAAAGAATGTTCTCAGGGTTCCTTCAGAGATTTGGCCTGGTCCCCAACAAATTGGGCGAGGGTGCCACACACCAAATATTCCCTTAAAGAAAAGGTGCCGAGACGCAGCCCCCTGCACTGTGCAGAAGGCCTGAGGGGATGGGCAGCTCCCTCTCTGGAGGCGGCCGTCCTTCTGGACCTTCCTACAGGCTCACAGCCGGGCGGGTGCCCACCCTTTCAAAAACAAAGTCTCGGCTCTTGAATACCGCATCCCATTCTCTGGATGCCACCAAAAAAAAAAGTCTGCCACTCATGCCCTCGGCTGGGCCTCAGTGGGGCAGCCCAGGGACCCGAGCGCCCGCCTGGTGACCTATCAGATGTGCCTGGCACCTGGCACCGCAGCAGCCAACCACACGCCCTGCTCCCCTGCTCCTTTAACGGGGTGCTCGGAGGAAAGCTTCCACCGACCCAGGTGTAGCCCTCCTACACTACAGTTAAAGGGAAAGGGCGGATCTGCCCAGGAGGGTGCAGCGCTTGCCTCGCCCACCTGAGACGCCCACAGGGCAGACAAAAAGAGGCAACCAAGGAGAGACACCACCCGGGGGCCAACGTGGCCTGCTGACCCCCGCCTAGGCGCGCACGGAGCCCTCCCTCCCACTCGCTAATACACACGGGTCCCCCCTTTCCCCACTTCTTCATGGCATCTGAGCCACTCTCCCCAGCACACAGGTGGCCTGCAGGGTAAGCACAGCCCTGCCAGACCGTAGGCCCCCTAACCTGGTGGGCACCGCCCCTCTCACCCTGCTGCACAGGGACCCTCCGCAAGCCTTCCCTGGATGCCTCGCGCTGGGGCTTCGGGAACCCGGCCTTCGCCTCCCCGGCCCTCTCCCCTCTCCGCACTGCAAACCGCAGAGGTCTTGGACACGCTCAGGCTAGACACAGAATGACAACGTCTAGGTTCTTTTTTCTTTTCCTTTTGTGGACACAAGGCCTCACTACAGAGCTCAGCTGACCCTGCAGTCCCCACGTGGCTCAGGCTGGTGCAGACCTCACAGTGAGACCCCCCCCAGCCTCCTGAGGTGAGCTCTGCACCATCGCTGCTGGTTTAGGAGACAGTGTCTTAGTTTAAGTAGCTAATCCAAGACACAAATGAGACTGAAACCCGCTCAGGCAGAATTCCAAGCTCTTTTGCTTCCAGCGCTTCCATGATGTAAACAGAGATAAAATGGTCAGAAGCCTGCAGGGGAAAGACCCTTAAAGTCCTTAGAGACTTCTGAACACAGGTAGAACTTGGACCTCAAAATTGGAAAGAAAGCAGGAAAAAAAAATAGTACAGAAGGACCAATTAGTATTCAACAGAATAAAGAGACACAGGCTCACCCAGAGCGGTGGCATGCTGTCACCCTCTGAAGACCCTCAAGTGCAAGCAAGCCCAGCACAGGCCTTACACACAGCAAAAAAAATGGACCGAGTAAGGAAAGTCACACTTACCGTGTGCGCGCACACACACCGAGGTGGAAATGGCTCGCTTGCCAATGAGGCTGATTACCCTGGTAGCCAACATTCTGAAAGACACAAACACACCCCTTCTCTGAGAATGAGGTGACCATCTATTAAGGCTAAGGCTGTCCTTTGGCCCCGGACCATTTTGTAAGTAAATGCAATTCATTTGGTTGCCTCTCCTCAGCAGATATGATGACACCTTTTGGGGGTGGGGGCAGAGTATCACTATATAGTTCAGCGTGGCCTTAGATTTGATACTAGCCCAGGCTGGCTCTGAACTCTCAGGATGCTCCTCGCTCTCCCACGTGCTGGGATTGCGGTGTTCGCCACCACGGCCAGCTAAACAACTCATTCTTTTTGTAACGGATTCTGCATTCACAAAGTAACCACGCTGAGGTTTTTAACACTGCGTTTTGACAGATCTTACTAATAAACCAAGTATACACAAATGCTTATTTAACTAACAAAATTGGCTTCCTTTTAAAAAACCCGAGATGACTGGAAAAGCAGCCATCAGTAAGGCATCGCGCTGCCGCCACCGCTGTCCTTGGCGAGAAGGAACTGCTCACACGGGCGGTGGCAAGGCCCCAGCGCATGCAGGCTGGAAGGCGCAGGCTGATAAAGCAGCACGCACTGCATGGTCCGCTTCCAATCCCCGCGGACACAGGATGCCCAGAGGACGTCTTGTCACCTGGACCCCCTGACTAGGCTCGAGGACACACAGGTGCCCTTCTCGGAAGCCCCTCTGGAGCGCGCCACGGGGCTCCGCAGCGCCGAGAAAACGCCTCTCCCGGTAAAGGCAGCGTCGGGACGCGGGATGCGCCCGCCGCCGCAGGGGTCAGCGGGGTGCGCGATACCCGGCAGCGGGGCGCCGAGGCCGCAGGCGCAGAGCCAGCGGGCGCCCCAAGGTCAGAGCCGGAGGCCGCGTGCCTGTCCGCGGCGGGGCGTGCGCAGCCAGGGCCCCGGCCCCGCAGGCCTGAGCCGCGCCCGCAGCCCCCGCGCCCGACCCCGCGGCCCGCCTCAGCACCGCCGAGCCCCCGGCCCACCCGCCGCCTCCCGCCGGCGCCCGCAGCAGCGGGCACACGGACCCCGCGGCTCCCAGCCCCGAAGCCGCCGTGGCTCGCGTTCCGTTCGCAGGCCCAACGCCAGGCGCCTCGCGCCTCACCCGCCGTCGCTGCGCCGCGACCGCCGCGACCGCCGCGACCCTCCGCCCTCTGCGTCCCGGCCGCCAGAGACCGGAAGAGCGAAGCCACGGCCGGAAGAAGCGAGGGCCGCGTCGCGGAGCACCACGGGATCGAGGAAGCCCCGCCCCCGCCGGGAGCCGGAGGTCACCGCGCAGTGCACGACGGGAGACGCCGGGCCGCGCTGCTTTCCGGCGAGCGCTGAGCCGCCCGCTTTCCGGCCGGCCGGGGAGAAGCTCCGGCCTAGGCGGGGCGGCGGCTTCGAGGGGCGCGAGGCGGCCGGCCTTGGGCAGCTGCCAGCCCGGGACAGACGCCGCCTCGTCCCGCTTCTCCGTTGAGCTGCGGCGCGGCCGGGCAGGGCGTCCGGGCCTCCGCCGCGCGGCCGGGGCCTCCGGGGCCCGCCGGGCTCAGCATGCCCGGGGTGAAGCTGACCACCCAGGCCTACTGCAAGATGCTGCTGCACGGCGCCAAGTACCCGCACTGCGCCGTCAACGGGCTGCTGGTGGCCGAGAAGCAGAAGCCGCGCAAGGACCACCTGCCGCTCGGCGGCCCCGGCGCCCCGCACACGCTCTTCGTGGACTGCATCCCGCTCTTCCACGGCACGCTGGCCCTGGCGCCCATGCTGGAGGTGGCCCTCACCCTGGTAAGCGGCGTCCCGGGCACCCTCCCCACGCGAGCCGGTACCAGCCTGACCTGGGCCGATGTTGGGTGTTGACTAGGGGGCGTCCTCGCCTGGCGCGCGTGTCGGTGCGGTGGCTTCTGGCAGCCGCTGCTCCGGAGCCCACGACCCTGGGAGCCTCAAGCCCGAGTGCAGACGCTTCTAAAGGCTAAAGACGCGTCGGTCTCAGTTTTCTCCCTCTCGCGTGTGCCCGAGCTGTGTGCACGAAGCTGTGGGTCTACTGCCCAAAGCGATTGGGAACCTATCGAGAATCCCACCGTGACTTTAAAAACTAAATTTTCATGAAATCAAAAATCGGGAGCAGATGTCTCATCTCCAGCACGCTTTTTTTCTACCTGCAGTGAGCACTTTCTTTAAATGGAATAAGAAAAAAGTTTTTTGTTTTTTGGGGGGTTTTTTTTGTCTTTTTTGAGACCGGGTCTATGCAGTTCAGGCTGGCCTTGAGCTCACTTTGTAGCCCAGGCTGGTCTCGAACTCGAAACCATCCTCCCACCTCAGCCTGGGAGTGCTGGGATTACAGGCGTGAGCTACCACACCCGGCTAAGAAAAAAGATTTAATACACAGATAAACTGGGTGGTGGTTGGATTTTAGGCAGGTAGCTTTTGAGTTGTGGGGATGGATGAATGGAGGAGAACCAGGTAATAATTCCACTGAGTTGCTAAAACTTAAAGGGGAAGTAACCTGCAGCCTCCAACCTGCCCGCCCAAGTAGAGGTGCTGCTGATTTTCCTTTTAAGAATAAGCTGTAGTGCTAAAAAGTACAACCTGGTTCGTGCAAGAAGGATTCAGAAGGTGTAGGGAGAAATTCTTTGCCCAAGAAAGAAAGCCAAGTACATTCTTGGCAAGTGAGAAGCGCCTTTGGGAACTGTGTGCCAAGCTTGTTGGGCACAGCTCTGTGTGTCTGCCTAAGTTAAAGTGAGTCATGACAGGAATTTCTTCTGGGCTGGAGACAGGCAGCCGTTTCCCTCCCTGAGTTCCTGAAGAGATGGGCAGTCAAGACCCAAAGGTTTTAATCAGGTCTTTCCAGCCAGCTGTCTCAGTGGTTCTGCTTTTGAGGGTGACTGAATTTCTGTGATGGCTGTGACTTGCGAGGAACTAAATTCACCAGTGACTCCCCCCTATAGTACTGCTCTGAACCCAGAATGGACTAAGCTGCAGCCCCAGTCTTTTGTCTTACCCTTTGAGTCAGGGTCCTGCTGAGTTGTCAGGATGGCTTTGAACTTGGCGTCCTCCTGCCTCAGCTTCCCGAGTAGCTGGGAGGAGGGACTCACCATGTCCAGCCACCAGCAGCACTTGTGTAAGACTGTCCAGCTCTCTACCCGGGGCCTCGTGCGTGTCTGTTTTGTGCCAGGCATGTGCTGAGGAGCCCTGTGGCTGTGACAGACAGCACTGAAGGGCAAAAGGCTCGGGCGAGGTTACGGTGGCAGGGACCTGAGAGCAAGGTCTGCTCACCCAGGCTTGGGGAGTCAGGGCCATCAAAGGGGACATGCACGTGGTGAGGCACCTGGTGACCCCGGGACTGAGTGGCCTGCACGGAGGATGTTCAGTGCAGAGCAGCCAGCGTGTGCCAGCCAGGAGGGCCCAGTGCCAGAGGGGTGAGGGAGAGGGAGGGTAGCGTGGGTGGGCACACTGCTCTGGAGAGGATCACTCAGGTGCTGAGGACAGGGGAGCCCTGGAGGGGAGCTGCATGCTGAGATTTGTTTTCACAAGGTGGCACCAGCCTGCTGCACAGAGCAGGTTTGAGTCAGGTGTTCTCTCATCAAGACTAGAGGTGGACAGGTAGCAGAGCTGAACCTGGGCAGCGCTGAGCAGGAGGGAGCCCCGGGCCCTGGCTACTGCACATGGATGTGGCTGTGGATTGCTGGCTTTGTCTCAGGAGCGGGCTGGTGCCACGCCCTGAGGGAGATGGACAGAGAAACAGTTTTCACATCTGTGACTGTGGTCACATCTGCGACTGTGGCTCAGGGTGAGCGTAAGATGGACCGTGAAGAACTTTCAGTACCGACAGGACAAATGTGTCAGGAGCTTAGGCTGCCTGGGCTGGAGGCGCAGGCTGAGAGCCAAGCTTTTGGGTCCTCGAGCCATGGCAGTGAATCGGATCACCAAGGGATGTGGGTGCAAGACACGCGGGTGCAAGGAGCGGGAGGAACTGCAGGGCTGGGAGGCAGAGGGGCGAAAATCCGCAGGGCCGAGAGGTAACGGGAGATCAGAACCACAGCTGCGTCCCCAGACCCTGTTCCTGTTCTGAGACAGGGTCTTGCTGCGTGGCCCAGGCTGGCTCAGAAGCTGCAGTCCTGCCTCGGCCTCCAGAGTCGCCTGGGTTAAGGTGTGCAGTCCTGGGCTTCTGAAGGGCGTCGCCCAGACTCCCTGGGGCCTTCCCGGGCATCATTACCGTTCTTAACTCACCTTTGCCGGGCTGAAGGGTTATGTTCCTATTTCAGGAAACGAGCCCAGTGCTGGAGGGAATTGAGCACCACCTGCCGCCCAGCCCTGCCCTGGGAAGGAAGGGGCCAGAGAGACCTGGACGCCCAAGCCGGGGGCCGGGCTGCCCCTGCCCGCACAGGCCCCCGCCGGGGTCCAGGCCCCTGGCCATCCTGCGGTGCTGCCCTCGCCAGGGTGTCCTGCGCTTTATTTGTAGCCACCAAAACTCTGGCTTTCAGCCTCAGTGGGCTGAAGTATGAAAAAGACAGATCCTGTGCAAGTGAAGGAACTTCAGACAGGAGTGTGGAGGACAGTTTACAGTGTGACTCAGCTCGGACGTTTTCTGTTACAGTTAGGCCGTTTGAATTTATATTACTTCCTCTCCCCAGTTAGTATGTACATTATAATTAAGGTATTAAATGTATGCGACGTGGTTTTGACTAAGTGCCGTTGCAGCCTGAAGGCACTGCACAATCTCTGGGTCCGGAGTCTTGGTTTATCACGATACTTCTGTGCAAGGTGAATTTTTTAACAAAACAGCCAAATCCGTGCAGTTGTGTAAATGAGGCTTGTTCTAGTTCTTTTCCAGCTCTGGAGTTTTATCTCGGAATTAACTTTTGGGGAGTGGGAAGGACTTTGCTGTGCAGGCCATCAGGGGTAACACTCTTTGCAAAGCTTTTCGTTGTGATTTTCCATTTTAAAAACATCATGCGTTTCTATTTTTATAAGTACTTACGCCTGTTATTTATGCTTATAGCCCTTTGACGTAGGTAGTGAAGGAATTATTCCTAATAGCAAAAGCCCATAAAATATGAGCAGGGAAAGTGGCCTAAAGCTGCTGCTCCCCTCAGCCCCGGCGACCTGTCCCCTCACCTGGGCCCGCCCCGCCCTGCGCACTCTCCATCCCCGACAGTTGGGCTCCTCTTCCAGCCTTGCGGCCCTGCCTCCTGCTGCCCCAGTGCCTGCTGCCCGCCCTCTGTCTCCTGTGCCCCTGCCACCGCCTCCCCTGCTCCTCCGCTCTACGTCCTCTTCCTGCTGTCACTGTCGTCCGTCCTCAGTCCCCTGACCCGCACATTGGCAATTCCTGGCCCCAGCTTTGTGTGTCACAGAAGGCTCAGCTGCTGGCTTGAGAAGGAGCTGTCTGGGGCTGTGCGGGGTCAGGAGTGGTGCCCTGCCTGAGGTGGCTGCCTTACGGGGTCCTGCCGTTGCCTCCTTAGCAGAGGACTCGGGGAGTTAGTGCTCACAGGTGCGGAATGCCCGCCAGCGTGCGGGGAAGTCCCCTCCCTGCGGGGTCTGCCTGGGATGCGCGAGTCACCCCGCTGCCTTTAGCAGTTTTTTGCACACCTGCAACAGAACAGCCAAAAAAGGCCCGGCGGGTGCTGAGGTGAGAGCCCTGCGCTCCCAGAGCAGAGGGCGTGCGTGGGGAGCTCCTTCTGCGGAACCCCGCGTGTTTCGGGGAGCTTGTGTTTTGTCCTGAGCCTGCCTTTCATTTTGAGTTTTCACAAGATGCACCACAGAGGCTTGGAAGCAGGAGACGGGAATCGCTGTCACCGGGAGCAGAGCGAGGCAAGCAGCCTCTCACCTCTCAGTGCCACCTGCCGTGCTCTGCTGGGGGGGACAGGTCACACCGTACCAGCTCTTCATGAGAGCCTGAGTACTCCTGCAGGGCGCTGCAGCCAGCAGAGGCCCACCCATGCCCGGCTCATCCCTTCCAAGCAGGACGCTCATTCAGGCTAGAACCAGTCTGGGCCGGGAGGGTGGAAGCTCTGGAGCTTTCTAGAGCACCTCTTTGGGGTGCGCATGCCTGAAGTTCCCCACCGCTGGTCCAGGGATCAGGGAAGACCACCCCTCTTGCTAAAGCTGCCTCTGTGCTCGGTGGCCAGCCAGTTCCTGTCCCTGAGTGGGGGACAGGCTGTGCATACCCAGAGTAGACAGCCGCATAGTTGACTTGGTTTGGGCCATTCAGAAGGTCCGGGAGCCGAGCCAGAGCTTTGTGACCTGGTTTACCACAAATCAGCCTCGTCAAGGGGCCGTGAGAGCGCCAGGCCCTCGGGATCTTCTGCTGGAGTTCGGTCGGGCCCAGTTCCTCCGAGGGAAGGGAGTGTGTTCTCAGCAGTCTAAGTGTTGGTGAGGTGTGTGTCAGTGCCACAGGTACAAGGTGAAGCCGTGTGTGCGTAGGAGTGTGCAGATCCCCAAGGGAGGAGAACCCCACGTCGTCCACACCAGCCTGAACTACATAGTGAGACCCTGTCTCAAAATTGAGGTGTCGCTCAATCCAGAGGCCCTGGGTCCAGTGCCCAGTACCGCAGTGCCCTTTTAGTAGTTGTGGCCAGCTGAGAAAGATTCCCAGAAGGTATCTGTGTCCTCGTCCCCGAGGCATTGCATGGCGACAGGGACCTGGCCGGCAGGATTAGGCCAAGGACTTGGGGCGGTCGTGCTGCCTTCTCCGCACTGGGCCTCTGCACTCATGAGGGTGCAGGGAAGAAGGCAGCAAGGTCCGAGGAGACGCGAGGTCAGCGCAGTGTGGCCCTGAGCCTGGGGAAGCAGGCAGCTTCCGGGTTCACGCAGAGCCCCCGGGAAGAGCCGTCGCTGCCAACCCAGGCGGGGCTTCCGACCTTCAAACTGAAAACCTGCAGACCGAAGTCGTTACGTTTGGGCAGCTTGTTGTGAGGGTGTAGGAGACTGAAGATGACAGACTGACTGGACACAAGGGTAGCCCGCACCGGAGAGCGAGGACAAGTGGCCCAGGGTAGGTGGGCGGGGACAGAGGTCACCTCTGCTGGGGCCCACGCAGGGCCCAGCTTTGACTGGGAACAGCTGGGAGCGCGGTGCAGAGGGCCGGCAGGTCCCCCGGGCTGCAGTGTGGGGAACAGGGCCAGACCCCGAACTCGAGCTCGGCTCTAGATAAGCTTAGGAAAAGCGGAAGAAATTGTTCCAAGCAGCAAGAGGAAGTTTCTAGAACCCCTTAGGAGGAGAGAGAGCTCGTGTCAGAGCAAGTTGCAGCAGATTCACGATAGAACCTTTGCAAATATTTGGGGCTCATAACCCTAATCTTTTGGGTGGAAGGCCAAAATGCCCATTTGTTAGTGATCCCTGGTTTTGACCCAATATGGTAATTTGTGAGCTCTAAGGAGAACAGAAACATTCTAATCCTGTGTGAGCCAGGGACCTTTGGACCGTCTTGCAGTGTCTGCTTTTAGTCACAAAGAAGACAGAGGCCTGAACCAAAATTCAGGACAAAGCAGTAGCACGTGTTTGAAACCCACAGGGTTTGCGGTTTGTTTGTTTGTTTGTTTGTCTTCATCCTTTTCAGTGCTGGGGATCAAACCCGGAGCCTCACATGGGCAGGGAACACTTTACTGTACACTCAGCCCCAGCCCCAGCCCTGCACACATTCTAAGCAGTAAACTCACTGCAAAAGCAGACAAAAGAAACAAGGTCTCAGTTCTGTGTCCTCTTCTGCAGAATGAGAATTTATGGCAGCGTATTAAAGTTCCATTACAGCAAAACAGGATGACTTTTTGTTTCTAGTAATGGCATTAGGCCTGCAGGAAGCTAAATCTGATGAGAGAAGAGTGGTTTCATAGACAGAACAAAACTTCCACCTGCGGGCCTCGCAACGCTCGCCTGCAATCCCAGCACTCGGGAGGCTGAAGCAGGAGGATCGTTGTGAGTTCGAGACCAGCCTGGGCTACAAAGTGAGCTCAAGGCCAGCCTGGACTGCATAGCAGGACCCTGTCTCCAAAAGAAGAAAAAAAAAATACATTCCAAAGCCCACTGCAGGCTCCCTCGGAGCACAGCAATAGGGAATTGAGTGAAGGTGCGCTAGCACCCTGGCTGCTGTATGCGCACCCCACAGCCCAGGGTGGGGCGCTCCAGGGCGTGTTGCTGGAAGCTGTGGGGCGGGGCTCCCGTGTGCTGGCTCTGCTGTTACCTGCCGAGCAACTGAAGGGTTGGCTTCAGTCAGCGCCAGGAGGGTGCACGCTCAGACTGCAGCCCGCAGCCCTCACCCCTCACCCCGCACCTCGTCTCGAAGCACTGGCACCAAGATGAACCCGCATGTCCGGCGGCCGGGCTGACAGCTGCCATGCGTGACCCCTGTGGCGTGCGCGGCATAGGTGCCCCGCCACGGCTTAGGGTTTCTCAGGCCCCAGGAGGGCCCAGTGCTCTGTCTGCTAGGACAGGCTTAGTAAGCTGTCACCAAGAGGCTCCCACGGCTGAGTCCGGCCCCGGCCCGTACCGAGACCTGTCCAGCAGACCTGACCCTCTGGACTGCTCTTCCTCCGAGCGCCTGTCTCGCTCTCTTCGGGCTGGGAGAAGGGCACAAGGACTGGGCAGCCGTGCTCACCCCCCTGGCGGGAGGGGTCCCCTGTGGCTCCCCACCTCCACATTCAGGGGGAGCGCTCACCGGCTCTTCCTGGCCTGTGCTCCTCTTCAGATCGACTCCTGGTGCAAAGATAACAGCTACGTGATTGCCGGCTACTATCAAGCTAACGAGCGGGTGAAGGATGCCAGGTAAGTGAGGGACCCTCCCTGGGCCAGAGGGGCAGGGCAGGCCTGTCCCGTGGTGGCCTCCTGCAGGCGGCAGGTGCACGCCCCTCCCCACCTCTCAGCCTGCCAGCAGCATGTGAGGGCTGTGGGTGACTGAGATTCTGTGTCGTGTCGTGTCATCGCTTTGCTTGAGAGGAATCTGTACAGCAGAAGCAGCAGTCAGGCCTTGTTCTGCCCCGCTCAGCCCCCCCCCCCCCCCCCGACCCAAACCAGGGGGATAAAGGCCGGGCGCGGCTCCTCGGCTCCGCGTGGTGTGAATGAAACAGCTTCCAGGTCGGGGGACCTTCGACTTGGTGTTCACTGGCCCCCAGCTCCTCCCACCGGGAGGCTCCCCAGCTGCAGAGGTCACCACCGTGCCTGCCGCTGTCCCCTACATCCCAAGCAAAGCCGGAGAGCCGCCCTGCCCAGGGCAGGTGGCAGCCACAGCAAGCAGGCTTTGCTAACGCGGGAGCTACCGTGCACAGGGGCCACAGCTAGTGACAGCAGCCATTCCTGTCCCTCAGCCCTTCAGGGCCAACCCAGGAGGAGCCAGGTAAATAAGGCCACCACACAGCCACAAGTGTGAGGTCACACCCGCAGTCCCAGCTGTTGGGGAAGCTAACGCAGGAGGGCCATGACATGGAGCCCAGCCGGGACAACCAAGCAAGATCCTGTCCCAAAATGAAAAATGTAGAGCCGCCAAGGGTGTGGCCCAGGGCCAGTGCCCGGGTTCCATTCCTAGAACGCCAAAAACAAGTGCCTCAAGAGGAGCAGTGCCCCGCGGCTGAGGACAGGCCTGCCTGCACTGGAGGAGGAGCCAGCCCCCCTTCCCTTCCAGGCCGGCTCTGTCCCCTGGAGCAGCCTTGCCTGAAGGCAGCTGGGAAGCGTGGGCCACACGCAGGAGACCCCAGCTCCTGGGGCTGTGGGGCTGGAGGGTCCTAGAGTAGGCCTCTCACGTGCAGACAGGAGGCGTGCATGGGTTCAAAGGCACTTCCAGAAGGAAGATGTGGTGGCCAGGCATGGCCGTCACTGGTGAGGCGTGAAGACACTAATCATGCCCTGTGGTCCCCTGAGGACTGGGTCCAGGCAGCAACCTTGCAGGGCTCACGTGACGCCCGACAGCACCTGCTGGGATGCTCATAGGCGTCACCCTTCTGGAGCACCGCTCTGTGCGCCTGTGTCATTCTGTCTGCTCTGGGACGCTGGCGACTTGGGCCTGCTTGTTGCCCAGAGCTGGGGCCCAGCCGGGGCCAGGTGCATCGCAGCCTTTGCATTTGTTACGCAGGAGAGCCTGGCTGGCTGTGGACGGCCTTTGGCTGGGTTCCCATAACCGTGCGGGACGCCCCCACCCCACCCTCTGTGGCCGAGCTCAGTGGGGAAGGGCCACAGCACCAGGGGCAGGCTGGGAGTTACCACTGGCAGGACCCGAAGAATCTCCTGGGAGGTGGCAGGGAGGGGCACAGGTGGGGACGCGCAGGCGCAGAGTTGCACCCACCCTGAAAGCGCTGCTTCCTGCGAGCCTTTGGAGCCCGGCTCGCTGCTTCTGCGGAGATGTCTGGGGAGGGGTGCATCTCATAGGGTCGTCACAGTGCCGGCCTCTCCTTTCCCTATCCTTTTGCCCCAGACGCGCGCCTTAGGCCACCAGCCTGCCACGGGCGCTCACAGGTCCTCTCCTCCCCGTGCACCACAGCTCGCTGCCACCCTCTTCCCCTCCTCACCTCCTCCCAGCTCAGTGGGAAGTGCTGTTTCCGGCATCTCCCTGCACCCCAGCACGTCCGTGCCCCCACAGATGTGATCCCTGAGGCGCCCTCCCCTCCGTGCTTCCTGTCTGTAGGGAGTAGGTGCTGGGGATCGAGCTGGGGTGGGGAAAGGTGTCAGGGTCCCACCCCAGTGTCCTGGACTTCACACTGCGTCTCCCTCCGATGCACCGTTCTGGGAGTGCTCTATGGGCGGGCCCCTCTGCATGTCCCTGGTGCAAAGGGAGGATGCTCCAGCCAGGGACACTGACTTCACAGAGGCCACACAGCTCAGAATTGTTTGCCCACTTCATTTGGAAACGCATTGGCTTGTGTCTGACACACGCATATGCATGCATGCGCGCGCACACACACATTTCAGTCAGACCTGGCTGAAGATCTGCTCTTGTTCTAGAAAGATCACTGGGTTAACGGTGCCTCCCGGCACTGGATCTGGAGCCAGGCAGGGTTGGTTTCCGGTGCTCAGTAACTCACCCATTAGCCTCGCTGGCCCGGATGCCAGCACTGCGCTCGCAGAGGGAACCAGCACGCAGCGTGCCGGGCAGCAGGGTGACGCTGACCGTCCTGTGAACACGGCAGAAGAGACGGCGGGCCTGGAGGCACGCACTTCCCGATGCTCGCTCTGGTCTGTGCTGCCTGGCTGCCTTCATTGTGCCTCTGATGATGGATTCCGAGGTGCCCTGGCCTGATAAAGGCTCAGTAAAAGTTTGCAATGCGCAGTACAGGCGGGCAGTGCTATGCACGCCCAGTTCTGTGCCAGCTGGCCATCGGGAAGGCGGCTTCTGCCTTCAGGGGAGTGCGTTTCATTTGGCAGCTGGTTCTGGGAGGGACGGGCTCTGGCACTGCGCGGTGAGGAGTGAGGTGCTCCCTGGTGCTGTGACACAGGAGCTCGGCTTCACTCCCAGAGACCAAGTGTGGAACACCAACAAGCGCCCAGCTCCTTCGGACACCGCGACAGCTCACTAGCTGGGGAGCTTCGAACCCCTCCAGAAATCCTGACCGTCCCCCGGCCAGCTTGGCCCTGCCCGCACTGGCGCTGCGAGGTGCAGAGTCCCACTCGTGCCCGGCGCCCTCCTGACTGCTGCTGCCTCTGCCCGGAGCACCTGCTTCCCCTTCCCTGCACTCTGCCAGCCGAGGGGTCGGGAGGGGACTCTGTGGTGAGCGGTGCTGGAGCCAGTGAGGTCCTGCAAACAACACAGGACAGTGAGTACTACAGACAGCCCCGCTTAGCAACGTTGGAGCTGCAGCTCCCGTGGGCGTGAACACAGCGCCTGGGAGCAGGACAGGCCGGGGCTTCTGTGCATCACTCTTGAGTCTCCTGTTCCAAGGTGAAATGGAATAGTCAGAGGGGATACTTTTTTTCCATGCAGGCGCAAGGGAAAGATTACAGATTACTGGCCATTAAAATACATGCATAAGAGCCCGGGGTTTAGCTCAGTGGCACAAGCACCTGCCTGGCAAGCGCAAGGTCATGAGTTTGATCCCCAGTACCAAAAAAAAACTAATCACGGGTCCTCCTTTGCAGTCCCAACCAGGTGGCAGAGAAGGTGGCCTCCAGAATCGCCGAGGGCTTCATGGACAGCGTGCTCATCATGGTAAGCCCCTGCACCCTCGGGAAGCTGTGCCTGCTCCGCCGGTGTCCTCACGTCTGCAGACCTCAGGGTCTGCGGCCTGAGTACCGCTGCAGTCATGGTGCAGGGCTGTGGGCGGCTCGCTGTCAGCAATGCTTGCGGCAAGGTCCCCACGCAGGAACCTGTCAAACGCAGGTTCAGCCAGGTGCGGTGGCAGGCGCCTGTCATCCCAGCTCTTGGGAGGCTGAGGCAGGGGAGTGCCAGGGGTCTGAGGCCATCCACGCTATGTAGCGAGTTCAAGGCCAGCCTGAACTGTAGTTCTTGCTATGTAGAGGGAACCCCTGGCTTAAAAGAAAAGAAATGCAGATTCTCAGGCGCTGCCACCACAGAGCCACCGAGTGGGAACTCGGGGCTGAGGCCGGCTGTGTTTGAGGAGACTGTCTCCCAGCAGTGGTGCCGCTCAGCCCTGAGGAGGCGGAAGGAGCCCCACTTGGCTCCCCGTGAGGGGCTGCATGGGGGACAGCTGGCACCCCCCGCATGGCGCCCCTGCCCCAGCACCCCCTGCAGTCTCCGGGCGCCTGTGTGCAGCACCGGCGGGGCCAGCCGAGCCCTCTCCGGTGACACTGTGCCCTCTCCTCACACAGGTGGACAACACCAAGTTCACAATGGACTGCGGGGCACCGACCATCCACGTGTACGAGCACCACGAGAACCGGTGGCGGTGCCGAGACCCACACCAGTGAGTGAGGCCGCCCTGCGGCAACTGCGGGGCCGCGGGGTGGGGCCACGGTCCCCCGCCGAGGCTGACTGTCCCTGTCTGCCCGCAGTGACTACTGTGAGGACTGGCCGGAGGCTCAGAGGGTCTCGGCGTCGCTCCTGGACAGCCGGTCCTACGAGACGCTTGTGGACTTCGACAACCACCTAGACGACATTCGGAACGACTGGACAAACCCAGAGATCAACAAGGCCGTCCTGCACCTGTGCTAGGGCCGGAGGGGAGCCTGCTTCTCGGGTGGCGAGGGCGCCACCACCTCGCTGCCATGCGGGCCACGGGAGAGGCCGGCCTCCCGCGGGTTCCACACAGTCGCACGCTGCTGTCCGCCTCCAGATCAGCAGTGGCCGCTTGTCCAAGATTGTGCTGTAAGAGTTTTAACTGACCTTTTATAATGCGAGAGAATACTTTTTAAGGCTTATGGACTATTAAAACCAAGCCCACATCATAGGCTGCAGTGCGTGTATTTATCAGGCCGAGCCGGGCAGACCCAGGGCTGGCGCCCGGCGGTGCCCAGGGAGCAGGCCTGGGCGGGAGCGCAGGCGGCGGCCGAGCCCAGCGGGAGCAGCTGGTGCTGCTGTTGCCTGAGAGACCTGCACAGCTGCCTGCAAAACAAACAGTGTCGCTGGGCTGGGAGCACAGAGCAGCACCGCCCGGCTTCGAGGCGCGGATAGGGCAGCAGCATGCACGTGTGCCAAGCGGGTCCTGGCTGCCGAGTGCCTGCTGGGGCCACTGGTGGCCTAAGCGCTGGCCTTTGTGCAGGCCATTTGCACAGAGCAGTGTCCACATTCCTCCCTGGATGTTCCTGTCTCGTCTTGGGAAACGTATGGGACCAGCGCATTTTCCCCTGCTGCAGGGTCTCAGCGGCCATGTGAGCAGGAAGAGGAGGCCACCCTCCGAGGACAGAGGCACCGCGGTGACGGCATGGCCGCGCAGGGCCAGCAGCGCCAAGTCCCTGGTGCACAGAGGCCCGCTGGGCTCCTATCCTCGAGAGGCATCCCTGTCCCCAGTGACACCTTTCTTCCCCAGGAGCGTGTGCCACCGTGCCCCAGGCTGGGTGTAGACCTGAGCCTGAATCCCAGTCCTCTGGGTCCACTGGGTCAGCTTAGTGTGGCACAGGGAGGCACTCAGGGGAAGGTCACCTTTTCAGAAAGCCAGGGTGGACCCCAGGCGCAGATGTCCGCTCCCAGGTTCCTTGTAAAATAGCAAAAGCCCTGCATGGGGCTCATCTCCGACTCCACGAGCAGAGAACAGGTTTCCTCGCTGGGGACCTCAGCCCGCTGAGCTGCGTCCCGGCTGCCTGTGCCAGGAGGCCTGAAGGGACAGCACCTGCGTGTAGCGAGAGATCACAGGCCAGCGCTTGACTGGCCCTCAGGCCTGAGCAGCCCCTACAGGGGGCTGTGCACGTGGACCGAGGCACAGGGGGCCTCGAGCGGGCTGGCCACGGGCCCTGCCTGAGCTACCCAGAAAAGCTTACCCCAAGCTGAGCTCTGTCCATTAAGAGACCAGTAGGACAGGTGATTGGTTTACACGCAAGTGCCATTTTCCTGCACATTCTAGAAGGCTAGAAGAAAGTGTCTGAAGAGTTTTCACCATAAAGAGAAGCCAAGCAGCCCAGCGCTTGGGGGGCTGAGGCCGGAAACAGCCTGCGCTGTGTGTGAGGGTGCTGGCCCCCCACCCAGGAGAGGTCGGTGTTTGGGGGAATGGGTGTGTTTAACCTGACGTAAGTGAGACAGCGGGTTCCCCACTCAGTGTGCAACTGCTGTGTTTTTATGGACCGGGATTTTTTGTTTGTTTTGTTGGGGTTTTTTTCTTTTGTTTTGGGCTTTTTAAAAAAGACAGTCTCCTGTGCAGTTCAGGCTGGCCTTGAGCTCACTTTGTAGCGCAGGCTGCTGTTGAAACAATCCTCCTGCCTCAGCGTCCGGAGTGCTGGGGTTACAGGCGTGAGCCCCCCACCCCGCTGTAGCAGTGAGATCTTAAGGCACTGATTTCCCTCTCTAAGCCGGCTGGCCTCTGAGAATTGAGGCTCTGAGTGGAGACGCAGCCAGCAGCTTCCTAGCGCCGAGAGCGCTCACCGAGGAGAGGCTGACCCCTGATGCTGGTGAGGTCCCCCTGCTCCCTGCGGGACGGCTTGGAGGCTGCAGTAATTCAGCCTTGCAAGTCAGGTTCCACAGACCCGGTGAAAAGTCCTCATCTAATTAGCTTTGATTTATTGTAATAGCTTATCTTTCTGAAGTCTCTGGAAACCTATTATTTCTGCATATTGCGTTTCTTGGCTTTTCACACCTGCTTTTCCTGTTGGGTCTTCAGAGGCTGAGTGTGTTTGCAGCGTGCGCTGTGGCCCCACTTCTGTCACACCCCAGGCGCTGCTTTCTGCCACCTGCTAAGGTGACCTGTCCTGCTAAGCAGAGGGACACCCGGCGCCCCTCCTGTCCCATCCACTGCGTGGCTCCCGAGTATCGTGGGGGAGAGCCGCGTCCAAAATAGGCTGCAGCCTCCTGCCTGCAGCCTCTGGGGTGGGGGAGGCAGGGCCTCCATCCGTCTGTCTGTCCCTGCTCCTGCGCCCAAGCACTGGGCTTTTTTTTCAGTGCAAGAAGTGAGCAGGGAGAGTCCAGGCTGCCCTGCCCCTCAGGTGAGCTTAGGGTTCCTTTCTTACCTTTCTCCTTACAAGACCAGTGGCCACGCCCCAGAATCAAAGGGGGAGGGCAGCAGCCTCAGCGGCCAAGAACCAAGTCAGATGCCCACGGCGACTTGTTCCTGCCCCTTACAGGCCACCGGGCTTGAGGTGGCCGCCAGACCCGTCCAGGCGCTGAGTTAGTGGCCACGCACCCTTCGTCCCAGCGTCACACTCTGGCTCCGGCCACCTCTGAAAAGCCCCACCTGTGACCGCGTGAGGCTCTGGGGACATCAGACACAGCCATAGCGTGGGGTAACAGCTTTTTTGCTCAGTAGTGTTTTTTTCCCTTTGTGGTGGTACCAGGGTTGAACGCTGGACCTCATGCTTGCCAAGCAGGTGTTTACGCCACTGAGCTAAATCCCCGGCCCTGTAACAGCTTTTTTGGTTTTTTCTTGTTCAGTGCTTTTTCTTGTTCAGGATGGAGCCTGGGGCCTCATGTGTGCGAGGCAGGGCTCCCCTGTAAGCTACGCCCAGCCCCACAAACACTCATAAAATTGACCTTTTTTTGTACCGGGAATCAAACTCATGACTCACACTTGCCAGGCAGGGGCTTTGCCCCTGAGCTGTGGCCCTGGCCCTGACCTTTGACTCCTCGGAACACTCCCGTGCCTCTGGATGGGAGGCAGGACTCTGTGCCTCAGGCCTCGGGCCCAGGCCCGTCCTCCCTGAGTGCTGGCTTCTCTTGGGGGCGCTTCCTGCACAGCCTCTGATTAGTGATCTGAAGGTCCTTGTGTGGAGCTAGAGACCCGGGCCACCGTCAGGAGGGCCAGGAGCTGTGTTCGCCGCAGTCTTTCACTGCCAGCGTCACGTGACCGGGGCCAGCCGAGCTCCACTTGAGCTGGAGCAGGGATCCCTTTGCTGGGACTCTGTCGCCGTAAGCAGAACAGCGTGCTCTCCTCCATGCCAGCCGGAGAGCTCAGCTGCCTCAGCGAGCCTGCTGTGGGCTAGAGCGCAGGGTACCCAGGGGCAAGGCCCATGCCTCGTGGAGCCCACCGTGGTGTGGTTGGTCCTCGGCAGGGCAAACCAGTGCGGGGCTGCAGGCGTCCGGGTCCACTGCCTGTCCCTGGGAGGAGCTGGGCGCTGCTCAGAGCTGGCTCTGGGTGCCCTAGTGCTGCCCCTCCGGAGGTGCCCAATGCTGGTCCAGCAGCGTGTCCAGAACCCTGGCTCACAGCTTCATCCAGGTCTGCCACCCTCTGGGACCTCTCCTGTCTCCTCTGGAAAGTGGCAGGGACGACACTTCTCGTGGGGACACATTCAGATGTGTCCAGGTAGACACAGTGCTAGCACTGGATGGTTAAGGCTCCATCTCCAGAAAGTTCTAGATGGCTGTCAGTTCTGGGACATTCCATCAGCCACCATGAGCTGGGAAGACGTCCATTGAGGACAGGTGAATGCACTTACATCCTCAGCCCTGCTGCCTGCACGTGGCAGGGAGAGACCGTCCTCCTGCCACACGACCTGGCCAGCGCCACTGCAAGCCCGCACTAGCACACCTGCCCCTCACAAGAAGCTCAGCACAGAGACAGCCCTGATGCCCATCTCCTTCCCTCCCAGGATACCGTGTGGGCGAGGGAGGAGGAGGAGGAGGCCTGTGAGCACAGGGAGCCACGCAGAGCCACCCTGAGCGGTGGAAAGCATTTCACACATCTTCCTGTCTCCTGTGGCGTCCTGCTCATAAGGTCTAGTTATTACTCTTTTTTTTAACATAATTTCTCAATAAATTACCCAGCCTGGCTTCAAACTTGGAACCCTCCTGCCTCAGCCGCATTTCTATCTTTCAAAGCCTAGTCGGGAACCTGTCATGTGCTTTTCACCCCTGGAGGCAGCTTTGCAGCATAGTGTCCCTGCAGGGCTGTCACACCCCTCCCTCAGGGGCCTCCTGTCCCTGCACACCGGGCTGTGGCCCCAGAGACTTGCATCGGTCTCTCTTTCCTGGAAAATAGCTTGCCTCTGTCCCAAAGAGGACGTCTTCTCAGTTTTTAAATTTAATCAAAATGGGAGCTGGGGATTTAGCTCAGCAGCATAAGCACCTGCCTTGCAAGCAGGCGGTCGTGAGTTCGATCCCTGGTACCGATTAAAAAAAAAAAAAAAAAAAAAAACCTTAGTACCACAAAAATTTAATCAAAATGGAGATGTAAAGGGAAAAGCAAAGTCCCCTGAGATCCCCAGCCTGCCGAGCAGCCTTGTCACCCTCCTCAAAGCCGCAGGAGCCTGGGTTGGAGGAGAGGTCTCCGGGGACAGCTCCGTGCAGGGGTGCTGAGCTCAGCGCTACTGAGGCGCTTGGCTTCCAGAATCCTGAAGCTTCCCGCTGTGTCAGCGTCCTGGATTCCGAGCGCCCCTCAGCCAGGGACGCACGTGCCGAAGACTAGGGCGTGGGACAGGCTCGGTCGGGGTGCCCTCTCGGCCCCTGCAGCACCGGGGCCTGTCCCTGGCAGCCTTCGCTCCTACCCTGCCATTCCAAGCGCCCCCGCCTTGCCCACCTCTGCACTAAGTTGCCCGGCTGGCCCCTCCCCCTCCCTCCTGCCTCAGCCTCCCAGTAGCTGGGATCACAGGTGAGGGCCACCGAGCTGGCTGCGGTTAGCAGGCTTGCATACACTGTGCACACGCCTACACCGTGCTCCCGGGCTGTGTGTGGAAGTGGGCCTGCCGGGCATGTACGTGAGGAGAGGGCCTGGCAAGCGTGTGCCACCAGTACAGGTGTCCCTGGCCACAGCGTCCCCAGCCCGTCGGGCCCTCGGGCCGCCTGACCTCTGGCGTCTCCCCAACTCCAG